GCATCCTCAGAGGTAGTGAGGTCTGTTGGAATTAGGACAATGGGTTTATATATCTGTGGAATGGCTGGAGTCGGGCAAAGAGCTCTTCTCTGCTGGAGCTAGGTGTTAATGTTTCAACTGACCACCTTCATTAGCATTTGAAGGCCTGGCTGAGCCTGGGAAAATCTTTTGTTGAGAGGTGTTAAGATGTGCCAGGTTGTTTCCTCTCTGCTGTTTTGCTGTTGTAATTTTAGAGTTTTTTAATACTGGTAGCCAGATTTTGTTCATTTTCATGGTCTCTTCCTTTCTGTTGAAATTGTCCACATGCTTGTGGATTTCAATGGCTTCTCTGTGTAGTCTGACCTCACTACCTCTGAGGATGCTTGCCATAGATGCAGGCGAAACGTCAGGAGAAATGCCTCTAGAATATGGCTCTATAGCCCGAAAAAACCCACAAGAATCAAGCAATGATTTTGTTTATTTTTAAAATATATTTTAGAGGCACCTGTAATAAAAATGTCCAAGGTATATATCTTCTCATCAATGCTGCATCCAAAGTTAATGCACACATTATCTGATTGATAATGGCTATTTACTTTGTGTAAATTATAACACTGTAAAAGTAACAGTAATTAACTGTAAAAATTTCCCAACCTCTGTTAAATCAGGTTATGATTATGGTGCTATATTAGGGACCCATATATTCTCTTTTACATAGTTTTTTATTTGCTTTTAATAACACAAATGTAGGGCCCTTCCACACAGCCTTATATCCTAGAATATAAAGGCAGAACTAATTTGAGTTTCCGAACTTGGTACAGAAATAGCCCAATGTAGAGCGCATTGCAGGAGTCCAACCTTGAGGTTACTAGTGCATCCACCACCATCTTTAGGTCCTTAAATCTAGGAAGTGGCACAACTAACCCATGAGCTTGACCAGCTAGAAGAAGCAGTGAAGGCTCTCAACAAGCCAAAGCTGGTTGTAAGCACTCCTGACCATCATATCTATCTGGGCTGATATTTGGAGAGATGGATCCAGGAACCCCTCCAGCTGTGAAGTGTATTTCAGGGAGAGTGTAACCCCCATCTAGAACTGGTTGACACGCTTCCACTCCCAGATTGGGACCGTTAATGGCGAGCACTTCTGTCTAGATTCACTCTCAATTTGTTTTTCCTCATTAGGCCATTACCTCCTCCAAGCATTTATTCATTAGGCCATTACCTCCTCCAAGCATTTATTCAAAGGAGACATGCTATACTTAGCTGAGGCTGTTTTTGAAGACATGGAGAAATAGATTTGAGATATAAAGGTAAAGGTTTCCCTTAATGTCAGTCTAAGAGTGTCCGGCTCTAGGGGGTGGTGCTCATCTCAATTTCTAAGCTGAAGAGCTGGCATTGTCCGTAGACTCCTCCTAGGTCATGTGGCCGGCATGACTACATGAAGTATCATTACCTTCTTGCCGGAACAGTACCTATTGATCTAATCACATTTGTATGCTTTCCAACTGCTAGGTTGGAAGAAGCTGAGGCTAACAGGGGGAGTTCACCCTACTCCCCAGATTTGAACCACTGACTTTTTGGTCAGCAAGTTCAGCAGCTCAGCAGTTTAACCTGCTGCACTACCGGGGGCACCATAGATTATATATATAGAGAGAGGGGGGAGGGAGATGAGACAAATGTGCATAATTAGAATGCAAATTAGAATAACAATATGGCACATAGATGCCTGGATTTAATTGTTTTAGCTAGCTAACACATACTACTGAGTAGTGTGTGACCTCATTAAGATGTGTCCCTGTGAAAGGAGGAACTGGGCACGCTTGGTTGGTGCCAGCCAATCACAGCTCAAGGAATGCCAGGAAGGGAGAAAGGATAAATAAATTGAGGTTTGTCTCTGACAGAAGGCAAATGGAGAAAGATGGCCTAGAGATAAGAAAAAGATTGCAGAGAGATAGGGAGAAAGTTGTAATATAGATAGGACAGGCAGCCAGAGGGAAGAACTGAATACAATCTTAGAAAGCAATGAATAATTATATTGTTCAGGGGTTAATGAGCAATCTAATTGTGTATTAATACAGCCCTATTTGTGTATCTTTACAACTGTATCTGGCTCTTCCTATTAAGTTTTTATAGAGAGTCTGGCCATGCTTTCCAAAGCAAACATACAGAATAATACATCCAATTATCCACATAGGGATTGCTTTGAAGCTCAAGTAGAGATCCAGGGAGGGGTCTCAAAGGGGAAGGTGAATTATTATTATTATTATTACTATTAATCATTTTTTCTCTAAAAGACACTCAAAGCAATATTCAAACACTAACTAAAAACCTAACTATAAACATTAAAACGCAATGTAACCTAGTACTATTTAAAATGATTAATTAAAACAATTAAAGAATTAAAACCAATTTAAAATACGCAAGGCCCCTGACTTGATCTTAAAAACTTTCCTCTGTAAAAGCTTGCCTGAAAATAGAGGAGCCCAACTGTTCGAGCTATGGAGCAACAAGGAGAGGGGATCTTTCACAGTACCTTCCCAAAGTGATTTTAAATAACAAGGAAAAAACGTTTCTTCCTTTTAAAAGGCAACTGCAATGGTAACTAATTGGGAGTGAAACTATAGCACAATTAAACACTTTCAAAATAACTCCCCAAACTCTGTGTGAGCCTAAATATTCTTGTGTAACCATTCATCCTGTTGATGACAGCAGGACTGACTCTGGTTAGAAATTCATAGGATTTTGCAAAGTTTTGGAAAATGCATTTAAAATAAATTCTGCCAATATCATAATGCAGTTGCTTTAGAAGACCAGGGTTCAAATCCCAGTTCAGCCACCGAAACCCACTGGGTTATTTATTTATTGTGTCACAAGCTGAATATACCGTTATAATGTATATAAAAAACACAAACAAAGTTAAAAACTTGGCATTATACTAAATTTCTTTTGACCAGAAGCTGGCCACTTGGAGTGCCTCTGGTGTCGCTGTAATAAGGTCCTCCATTGTGCATGTGGCAGGACTCAGGCTGCATTGTAGTAAGTGGTCTGTGGTTTGCTCTTCTCCACACTCACATGTTGTGGACTCCACTTTGTGGCCCCATTTCAGAAGGTTGGCTCTGCATCTTGTGGTGCTAGCGTGCAGTCTGTTCAAAGCCTTTCAAGTTGCCCAGTTTTCTGTGTGCCCAGAGGGGGGTTTCTCATGCAGTATCAGCCATGGACTGAGGTTCCGGGTTTTAGCCTGCCACTTCTGGACTCGCACTTGCTGAGGTTTTCCTGTGAGTATCTCTTACAAAGCTATTTCTTGATTTAAGGTGTTGGCTTGCTGGCTGATATCTGAACAGTGGATGGGCCGGAGATGTCATTGACTTGGTTCTTTCATTACAGGCTGCTACTTCCCGATGTACAATTTCTCCAGCAGTGTTGGGTGTAGACATTTTGTGTTAAAATCTGTTAAAATCTTAGATTGAAAATTAACAAATGAATGATTATATGAAAAATGGGTTAGAAATTTTGGATGTAGGAATGAATCCGTGGGAAAGGATATGGTCTAAAGGTTTAAATTTTACTCTGTATTATGATCTTAAGGTGAAGTTTTATAAAATGACTCAAGAGACATTGTCTACAAATCAGCAACCACCATATGTTAGAATTGTGATGAACAAAAGGGTTTTCATATGTTTGGGACCTCTGAAACAGCTAAACAATGATGGATTCAAATACAATGTTTGATCCAAACAATGTTAAAGATCAATATCCAATTAAAGTATGAACTTTTCCTTTTGGGACTGATGGATGATCAGCTATAAAGGAGCAAAGAAAGAATATTTCAATACATGACAATAGTTGCAAGAATATTAAATGTCAGAAATGGTAGAAGGATTTGTTACTTGCTAAAGAAGAATAGTTAGTTTCAACTGACCACCTTCATTAGCATTTCAAGGCTTGGCTGAGCCTGGGAAAATCTTTTGTTGAGAGGTGTTAAGATGTGCCTGGTTGTTTCCTCTCTGCTGTTTTGCTGTTGTAATTTTAGAGTTTTTTAATACTGGTAGCCAGATTTTGTTCATTTTCATGGTCTCTCCCTTTCTGTTGAAATTGTCCACATGCTTGTGGATTTCAATGGCTTCTCTGTGTAGTCTGACATGAAACATTCACACCTAGCTCCAGCAGAGAAGAGCTCTTTGCCCCACCCCGGCCATTCCACAGATATATAAACCCATTGTCCTAATTCCAACAGACCTCACTACCTCTGAGGATGCTTGCCATAGATGCAGGTGAAACGTCAGGAGAAATGCCTCTAGAACATGGCCCTATAGCCTGAAAAAACCCACTAGAACCTATTATTATTATTGCTCTTATTAGCAACTTTTAATTACAGTCCAGCAAGCAGGCCTGGGTCTTTTACTGGCGTTTCCAAATTTATTACCTCCATACATCCTTCCATTCATTCCCACACATCATATTAAATCCACATTTATACAATCTGGATATTAAATTTTTGCGACATATGTATCTCTATCTAGGGATCTGTCACTTCCTCCCTCCCTCTTTATTATATTTATCTGTCTGTTTGTATCAAGTATATTGCAAACTGAGCAAGATATTTGAAATCAGTGTATCTTAAGGATAAAGATGATCTGGAATAGAGTGATGATCTACTTCTTCCTGATCCAGCTGATAGCTTGGGAAGGCTGAAGTTTCTGACTCAGCTCCTTCCCAATTTGGCAGCCCTCTTTAGCATAATGCAGCAGGCGCCCTGCCTAAAGCCACAGGCTTCTCTTAAGGCACCCTTTAAGGGGGAAGGAGCCTGGAGCTGAAGATTTCCTTCCCTGACTCTGCTTTCCTCTCCCCTTGTCCCCTTGTTTTGATTCAGACCCACCCGCCCTGGACTTTCCAAAAGGCATTCTCATCCGCATTAGACTAACTTTCTTTCAAAATACCCCCTTTCCTAACCCCCCCCCCTCACCCTTTTTGGGCATCCCTCCTCCCTAAATTATCTGTTCCTTTCAGAAGTGGGATGCTTGAAAATGTGGAAAGAGGATCTTGGGAATGGCTCCTCTAGCTGGGATGCTTTTGACCCAGAAGCTGGGGAATCCGCTCCGGCTTTTATCCCGATCTTGAAAAAAATAAGTACAAACTGAAAGTAAAAAATAAATAAAGAAGGAAAGGAGCCCCCTCTTAGCAACAACAAGAGAAGGAGAACAGTGCTTTGGGGTGAGTATGTTTCCCCCCTAATCCATTGATAATCAGGTATCAATACGTCTCCTTTTAGGACGTTGCAAGATGCGGTTTTTGCATGTTTGATGAAGAGAGAGAGAGAGAGAGAGAGAGAGGAAGGCGAGAGAGTCCCCACTGTCCTGAAGTGTGTGCCTGTTCCTTTAAAATTCCCCAAAGGCGACCTTTATGAAAGGTCCATTCAGGTCTGAAACCCAGCAGAGATTACATTAACAGCAGGGATACAAGAGGAGGGGGGTGATGCAGAGATATAGATATATCTGTGTGTGTATATCACTTCAAGGATACCATCCATATCTATATCTATATATCTATATATATCTCTTATCTATCCATCCATCCATCCATCCATCCATCCATACATACATACATACATCTGCGTGTGTTTATAGATATAGATAATATAATGTTCATTTGTGGGACTAACATAACTCATAAACCACTGGACAAATTGACACCAAATTGGACAGCATTCACCTAACAACTCAATGTATGTCCTTCACTCAAAAATTTGATTTTTTTTCTTTTGGGAGTTGTACTTGCTGGGATTTATAGTTCACCTACAATCAAATAGCATGATAGAATTGAACCAACCGGGGCATCCAGGACTCCCATGACCAACAGAAAACACTAGAAAGGTTTGGTGGGCAGGGTCCTTGAGTTTGGGAGTTGTAGTTCACCTTCATCCAGAGAGCACTGCGGACTCAAACAATGATGGATCTGGACCAAACTTGACACAAAAATTCCATATGCCCAAATATGAACACAGATGGAGTTTGGAGGAAATAGACCTTGACATTTGGGATTTGTACTTACTGGGATTTATAGTTCACCTACAATCAAAGAGCATTCTGAACTCCACCAATGATGGAATTCAACCAAATATGGCATACAGGACTTCCATGACCAACACAACACACCTGAAGGGTTTGGTGGGCATTGACCTTGAGTTTGGGAGTTGTAGTTCATCCACATCCAGAGAGCACTGTGGACTCAAACAATGATGGATCTGGATCAAACTTGGCAGGAATACTCCATATGCCCAAATATGAACACAGATGGAGTTTAAGGGAAATAGACCTTGACATTTGGGAGTTGTAGTTGCTGGGATGTATAGTTCACCTACAATCAAAAAGCATTCTGAACCCCACCAATGATAGAATTGGGGCAAACTTCCCACACAGAACCCCCATGACCAACAAAAAATAGATATAGATAGATATGATTCACACACAGAGAGATATAGTATCATAGATTTGAAAGGACCCTTAAAGAAGGACAATGATATGTTGCATGTTCCAGAGTAGGCAAACCAGACAATCTCCACATCAACACTGACAAAGAAACAGCAAGAAATACTGTTTACCCACAAGCAGAAAGAAATTACATATATTAGAAACCAACACTTTCTGATTACTTTATTTTCCAGATCACCAGACTGGGCCACAGCAACACGTGACAGGGGACGGCTAGTTTATATATGTCTACACAAATAAGAATGTAATGTTCGTTTGTAGGGTTAACATAACTCAAAAACTACTGGACAAATTGCCACCAAATTTGGACACAATATACCTTTTGCACAACTAAGACTCGTGCACCAGCTGCAACCGTACCTTGTGAAGTCAGATCTGGCCAGGGTGGTCCATGCCTTAGTTACCTCCAGATTGAATTACTGTAATGCACTCTATGTGGGGCTGCCCTTGAAAACGGCCCGGAAATTTCAATTGGTGCAACAGCATTTCATTATTATTTCGTTGTTGGCAATTTTTATGACAGAACCAATTAGGAACTGCCATTTAGAACGACATTTTGAAAGTTTTGTTAGAGTTCTGAAATTTTCACCACCAGAACTTTCGCAACACTTTAGAATCAAAGCACCAGTACCCCCTAGTTTTGTAAGTACTTTAGACCCAGTTAGAACCATGGATTGCCCATGCCTAATAGGCAAATTTCTCTTTCCGGCTGCTCTAATCTATCTATGAATATCTCTAATAGGCACATCACCACCAATTTGCTTCTAAAGTGTTGCTAAAGTTCTGGTGGTGAAAAATTCAGAAAAGTTTTTTTTAACTTTGTTATGGATCATTTTATTTGTTACCTTTATAATTCTTTTTCGATAGACCTGCACCAACTCACAAGATCACCATACATGAAAAAAGGTCCCTTTCTTTATTTTACACTTCCCAACACGATCCAGATTGTGAGTTATCTATTTTGGCTAGGAGAGCTGGGGTTGTATAACATCTGTTGAACATTTTATACAAGTTCTCTCTAATTGAAGTTGCCACTGTAAATTTTGTTCCAGAGGTTTTCCCAAATGTCAAAATCTATACTTCTCCTTAGATCTTTTGCCCATTAAATTATGGAGGTTTTTATGTGATTATCTTCCAGGATGTAACTTAGGATATCTTTGTACAATTTGGCTATTAAATTTTTTCCCTTTATCTCTATAAATAAAAATGTAATGTTTGTTTGTGGGATTAACATAACTCAAAAACCACTGGACGAATTGACACCACATTTGGAGATAATACACATATCAGGCCAACAAGTGACCATCACTCATAAAAACACTGAAAAACACAGCAGAAGAGACTTAAAAAGCTAAAAAACAAAATACATTACAATGAATGCACAAAACCACACATATATACGCAAACACACATATACACAAATATATACACACACAAAACACATATACACAGACTGGGTCACAGCAATGCATGGCAGGGGATGGTTAGCCTAATATAATTTCTAGTTCTGATTTTTTTTTAGGCAAATCCCCTCTTTCTGTCCTTTTAAAAACTTTTGTATAATTGGTGATAGTGAAACCAGTCTTTATACCCAGTTCATCTTTCCCCCTCAGTGTCCATTGAACCTGGAAAATACTTAACTGTATGTTCCTACATCATCTGTACAGGTGAGTCTCACAATAGCGTCTATTGTTCTTAGCCATAGAGGTGTTTTGTTTCCATACATAACTTGTACCTGTTCCAGACATCAATTAGGCTTCCTCTATTTACCGTATATGTTTATTAATAGCCTTATCTAATCTGTCTCCTTCATATGAAGTAGAGGTATCTCAACTGTGTCTCTAAAACCTACTTCTGAACTATGTGTTTTGATTTAGTAGATGCATTCACCACCAAGAAGTCTTTGRCTCAAGGAACCATGCTACTGCAAGCTGAGAAATTGATCTAAGCCTGGCTCACTGTCCCTGATGCCCCCCCCCCCCCCCGATCACTGATCACAATTGGGAAGGACCAGAACATCTATGGAACCATTTGTGGAATATGTTAAATAACCCAAAGAAGCAGCATGTGCCTTGTATGCTGGAAGAGCAGGCATGAATGCCATCCGGAAGAAGAGATTTTGGGCATTCTGTTTCTGCCTGATGGCCATCTTTTTTCTTCTGGTTACTCTCCAGGTACTATAGATTCTTAGGGCAACAAATATGAGTTAAGTAATATCAGAGGGAAGGGGAGGGTGAGGATTGCAGTATATAATCCTTGACATTAAGGGAAAGGTTTCTGCATATGGCCTCTCAAAACACACAAGAAGAAATCAGAGATTTCCCTTTCTTCTCCAATATATCCTCTTTTTGGCATGCCAGAATTTATGGTGGTTTCTCTTATCTCATAAATTGGGACTAGTACTTTTTTTGGATGACAGCTCCCAGATACCCTAGCTAATGTGGCTACAGGATGGTGGTTTTTTAAATCCGAATATTAGTTCTTCAGCCACTGCCCTCAGGTATCTGTTTCCTCCTGATGGCCTTCCATTACAATTGGGTTTTAGTGTTTTAGAGGGTTTCAATTTTCCTTTATGTGGGAAGACTGGGGCATTTACACCAGATGGAAACAACTTGCGATCCCCTACATCTTGTTGGAGGGCCATTAATCCTAGCTAACATATCTAGCGGTAAGGTATCATAGGAGTTACAATCCCACAACAGCCGGAAATTGCCAACTCTTCGGTTCCTTGATTATAGATCTGCAATTCTGAATTGTTCTTTCTTGTCACATTCCAAGTTTCATTAAGAGGTGAGCTGATGCGATAAGAAAGGACAAACTTTTCAGAGGTTATCCTTTTTATGAGCTTTTCTAAATTACCAGGTGGGAAAAATTTGAGTTTTCCAATCTGAAGTGTTATGAATATAATATAGATTTAGCCTGAAAGAATCTCCAGTGTTATAGGTTTATAGCCAGAAGATATTTGCAGTTTTGCTGGCAAAAGTAGATGTTTCACCCCTTCCTCTCCACAGCAGTCATACATGCTACCCCCAAGTAATTTTATAAGGCATCTTGCTAAATGAAGTCAGCCGTAGAGGTGGGGAGAACAGGAGGGTCTATTAAATGGGACCACATCAGAAGTACCTTTGATGATTTTCATAGCTCATTCTGAGTTAATCTGTTTCAGTGTATAATCTGACATAGTTTTTGTTAGAGTGGTCCAGCATTTCTGTGTTCTCAAATAATATGGTGTGTCCAGGATGGTTTATCAGGTGCTCTGCTCTGGTTGAATTAGTTTGCAGTGCCTTCCATGTTCCTTGATTCGTGTTTGGCATTGCTATGTTTGGTGATCCCTATGTAGAGGTGTCTGCAGCTGCATGGTATACGGTAGACTCCTGCAGAGGTGAGAGGATCCCTCTTGTCCTTTGCTGAATGTAACATTTGTTGGATTTTCTTATTGGGTCTGTAGATAGTTCGTAGGTTGTGTTTCTTCATCAGCTTCCCTATGCAGTCAGGGGTTCCCTTGATGTATGGTAAGAATACTTTTCCTCTGGGTGGGTCTTTGCCTTTACTCTCATGGCTTGTTCTTGGTCTTGCAGCTCTTCTGATGTCTGTGGTGGATTATCCACTGGCCTGTAGAGCCCAGTTTAGGTGGGTCAGTTCACCTTGGAGGAGGAGGGGGGGGGGGTTCACAGATTCAGACAAGAGTTCTTTCTCCCACCCCGGACATTCCACAGATATATAAATCTCACTTACTTAGTATCCAACAACCGGGAGCCCCTGGTGGCTCAGTGGGTTAAACCACTGTGCCAGCATTACAGGTCACAGGTTCAAATCCGGGGAGAGGCGGATGAGCTCCCTCTATCAGCTCCAGCTCCTCATGTGGGGACATGAGAGAAGCCTCCCACAAGGATGATAAAAAAATCAAATCATTCGGGCGTCCCCTGGGCAACGTCCTTGCAGACGGCCAATTCTATCACACTAGAAGCAGCTTGCAGTTTCTCAAGTCGCTCCCGACATGACAAAAAAAACCACACAACCTCTGAGAATGCCTGTCATAGCTGTGGGCAAAACATCAGGAGAGAATGCTTCTGAAACATGGCCATACATCTCAGAAAACTCACAGCAAACCCAGTAGCCTTTATTTTGAATTTATTTTTGCTGCCTCTTCCTTAGCACAGGATCCAAAGCAGCATACAACCACAACTGAGATGTGGTTATATTGGGCATATATAAAGACCAAACCACATGTGCATGTCAACATGTTAAAAAGAATATATCTAGATTTGTTTATTTTATTTTTTTAAAGTCACACTCCTATGCTGATACTAGCTACTTATACAATTATTCCTGAAGGTGCTCTTGGCAACTGACTGAAAAGTTGATAGTTTCAATCACAATTAATGTTGAAGATAATTGTCCAGCTATTTCAACATCGTAAATGACAGAAGACTTAATAAGGCCACAATTTTGTAATAACATAACCCACTTCAGTTCTATCTACTGAAGTAGCCAAAGAATCCAGGGCTTATTTTCCTTCTGAATTTTCCTTCTGAACTAGTATCAATGGACGCAGTGTTATGCATGGAGAGGGATTTATGCCAAGTCTATTAAGCCTTTGATAATGGTGGATTTCTTTTCCTTTCCTCCAAAAGGTGGTAGTAGAACTTGGCAAGTCTGAAAAGACGACAGCAAAAACATCAATTTCTCAAAATGATGCTTTTCAGAAAGAAGAGTTGGAGAAATATGCTCATTTGTTTGTGAAGACGCCTAAACTTTACAGTGATACAGAAAGAATTTTGCACCAAGACAGATATCCCATCTTGCTCTGGTGGTCTCCACTGACGGGAGAGACTGGGAGGCTTGGACAGTGTGGGCAAGATGCTTGCTTCTTTACTATCAACAAGACCTATCAGCATCATCCTATGACAAAAGCCTTTCTGTTTTATGGTAAGAGTCCACTTGCTTTTATTTTTCAAGTTACTGCATGCCATTTGCTACTTCATCTCTCAGAGAGTTAATGGATCATACAGCCATGAAACAGCATCACAGGAACCTGCAGCAGGTTGCTGTTTAGTATTCAACCTCTCCTTTCTATTTCCATTTTCTGCCATCCACTCTCCCAAATAGCTTGTACAGGTTGAGCATCCCTTTTCCAAAGTGCTTAAGATGAGAAATATTTTGGATTTTTGGGGTTTCTTTGAATTATTTGCATATACATAATGAGATATCTTGAAGATAAGACTCAAGTCTAAACACCACATTTATTTATGTGTCATATATACCTTATGCCAGGAGTTCTCAAACATTTTAAGCCAAGGGCTGGTTCACGGTCCTTCAGACTGTTGGGGAGCCGACTATAATTTTTTTAAAATGAATCAATTCCTATGCACACTGCATATCTAATTTGTAGTGCACATAATTTAAATAACAATACAATATTTAAAATGGAGAACAATTTTAACCAAGAAAAACTTATCCGTATTTTAATGGGAAGTGTGGGTCAACTTTTGGATAAGATAGTCGAGTTCATTGGGATTGTTGTTGTGTGCCTTCAATTCGTTTCAGACTTAGGATGACCTTACATCTAAAGTTTAGGGTAGGGGCTGGATAAATGACCTTGGAGGGCTGCATCTGTCCCACGGGCCTTAGTTTGAGGAACACTGCCTTATACATATCACCTGAAGGTAATTTTATATAATTTTGAGCAATGAATTTGTGCATGAAACAAATCAGTATGTCTGAAAAGATGACATTTAAGAGACCAATTTCCCATTATTTTTTCCTGTGGTGTACAGTACAATATCTGTATCTGCAAGGGATATGTTCATAGTGTTTGCATGGATACATGAAACCATGTACAATAGCAAACCCTATATTTGTACACATGTAATTATCAGAAAGCAAAGGAATCACTATCTCAATCGCTCATGTAGACAGTTTTGGATTTGGGAATATTTTAGATTTCAAATTCAGTCTAAGGGATACTCAAACTGCATTCCCTATGACTGGTTCCTGTAATGTAAGACTTTTTCCTGATATTTTCCCATTTTTGCAGACACTTGGGTTTTTTCAAATCTGCTTATGCTTGGGTTGCTATAGTTCCTGCTTCCTATGCAGTATTGCTCAGATCCTGAACATTTGAAACCAAGGAAGTGTCACATGTTGTCAACTTTTAATAAGATAGCTAGCTGCCTACATTATAGTGCAATACTAGTCCAAACATAGATAATTTATAAGGGGTTAGGATTAAGTATTCTGCAGCTGACCCAATAGTTGATTTAGTGTTTTAGGGTTAGAATGATTCTGATGAAGGTGTCCAGCAGAAGAAGCGAAAAGAGAGAGGAGTGAAGTGAAGCTCATTTATGATTGGTTCAAAACTGCTCCAGTTTCATGGATAGCTTTTCTTCAATGTCTGGTTCTGATAAATGATTCCTTCATAGCCAGAAGTTTTTTGGGCCTAGAAGTTTTTTTAATTAACCATCTTTATTTCAGGAATTTTAATAGGTGTATTTATTTATTTACTATATTTGTATACCACGCTTCTCAGCCTTTGGGCAACTCAGAGTGGTTAACAATACCAAAATTCAATGCTCAAAAACACCATAAAACAGTTAAAAACAATTAAAACAGTAACATAATAAACAGTCAATATAAATCAATAAAACATCTCATTAGCATCTCATAGTGAAAAACAAGATCCAGTCTCATCATCCAGTTGTTCCATATTCCTATCTTCATTACACTGCCTGTTTAAAATGCCTGCTCGAACGACCAGGCCTTCACTTTCCTCCGAAATGTCAACAGGGAGGGGGCCGATCTAATATCTGTAGGAAGGGTGTTCCACAGCCGAGGGGCCATCACTGAGAAGGTCTTGTCTCTCGTCCCCACCAAACATATTTGTGACGCAGGCGGGACTGAGAGCAGGGCCTCCCCAGACGATCTTAACATCCTAGCTGGTTCATAAGAGGAGATGCGTTCGGTACATAAAAAGGAAAAAAAATGTGTAAGGGGGAAAAGGGGTGGAGGGGGGTGGAGGTGGGAACAGGAAAAAGGGGGGTGGGTGGGTTTGGTTAAACTGTTGGCTTCTGGTCCATTCTACAAGGAGTTTATTCCATTTCCTTTCCCTTTTTAATAAGTTCTCACAGCTTCGGTTCTACTACCCATTCTGTAATTTTCCTTCTTACATTACTATCACTCCTTTCTCCTAGATTAATCTGTTTGAACATTGTGGGTGAGTTCTCTTTCCTGGAGGAATTCTTTAAATAGTGTCCAGTCTGTTTTACATCTATTTTTCCGGTCCTGCAGTAGGAAAACTATGGAGTCCATATCCTTGTAATCCATTATTTTTGTGATGCACATATCTATAGTTGGGATTTCTTTCAGGCACCACTTTTGAGCTAGTATTATTCTTGCTGCAGATGTCATATAAAAATTACTTGTCCTTATTTCTGCCTAGTTCAAAATCTGTCAAATTTAATAAATAATATTCAGGCCTTAATTCAAATTAGAAGTAGCAGCTGGAGGGATCACAGGTGGCAGCAGTGGTTATGGGGCAGAGACTGAGATATATTTTAGCAGGAGAGTGCTGCTCTGATCCCACTTAACCTCAGATTTCTCTCCCTTCCAGTTTGCGAGAACATTGATCCTTCTGCCAAAATGACTGACTGCTTTTATACAATTCTATGTCCCTCTTGAACATTCACAGCAGGATAGATGTAAAAGGGGCAGATGGATGGCAAAGAAAATTGTACATTTGTTAAACACCATATTTAATCACAGCTATGTTCTGCCATATAAAATACATATTTAACAATTGGTTAATAACACTGTGCCAGGTCACAATTCCTCAAACTGTTGGAGGGCCGGATTACAATTTGAAAAAAAAAACAAAAAACATGAATTCCTATGCACACTACAATACAATAATTAAAAGGAACAATTTTAACAAATATAAACTCATTAGTATTTCAATGGGAAGCGTGGGCCTGCTTTTGGCTGATGAGCAAGATTGTTGTTGTTGTTGTTGTTGTGTGCTTTCAAGTAATTTCAGACTTAGGTTGACCCTGAGCGAGGGCCGGATAAATGACCTTGGAGGGCCGCATCCAGCCTCCGGGCCATAGTTTGAGGACCCCTGAGATAGTGTGACAATGAGACTGAGCTCTAAACACAAAATTGGTTTATGTTTCATATACACCTTGTAGGCATAGACTGTAGGTAATTTTATACACAATAAAACATCCAACTTACAAACAATTAAGAACAAGGGTGATACAACAGGAGGTGAGAGAAATCTACTCCTCGGATGGGAAATTCACTCTTGATAGAGTTATCATGGGGAAGAGCTGTCTCCACTGAAGCTTTAACACCCGTCCTTGTTTTCACAACAAGCTATTTTTTTCAAAATCCAACTATCACAGGAACAGAAAGTGAAATTTTCTGAACAGGGGCACAGACAGCAAAACAAACACCACAGGATGCTATCCAAAGCACGCACGCATGCGCGCACACACACATATTTGGCTGGAGTTACACTTAAAAATGCACCTGTTCTGACTTACAAACAAATTCAACTTCAGAAGAAACTTGCAGGACCTATTTTGTTTGTAACTTGGGGATTGTCTGTATTGGTAATCGTTTTGGACATGAAACAAAGTGAATCATCAGAAAATAAGTGTCCTTATTTCAGCCAACCAATGTGGACAATTTTGGACTTTGGGACATTTTGGATTTCCAGGTAAGAGATGTTCAATTTGTAAAAATAATCCCAAACATTTCTTTTCATAACCTGTATAAAGAGTAGCACTACAGATGAACATGGCCATTTTTCAAATGATAGGCCCTAAATTTTCTTATAATTGGGGGAACTTATTGTAAGTACAGCACCCTAAACAAGCATTAGAGCTCTTGCATCATAACCAATGGATACAGTCTTCTTTTTTAGTTTCCAGGGTTTTGCCATTTTTGGCCACCAGAATTTTCATTATGTTTTTATCACAATAATGCTCTATACCTCCTAAAAATCTGCATAAAGGGCGCAGGACAAAATAATTTCAGTTGTGCAGATGGCTTATGATCCCATCATTTCATATTTTGTCAGATGTCCTCCATTTTTGAAAGCAATTTTTCAAATATATTTGCAACTGTGAACCCTTTGTGCCTCCCCTCCACCCCCATCATAATCTTATTAAAGTGTCTCTATCTTATTCTGGTGCGAGGCATATTCTTATCATCTCCTGCATCCCAAAAGATTTACAGTCTATCAGCCAAGATTAACTGTGTCATATCAAATCAATCAGTCATCGCATGACTTTAACCTTGAAAGAATACTTCTTTAGGCTTCTGTCTGCATAATCTTTATCTTCATTAGGCAACCCAGGATCTCTATTTTCTTTTTCCAAAAAGAACATCACCTTTTCAGTTTTTAATATCACCTAAAGGCAAAATGTCTACACCAGAGAAAGCAGGTTTTCTGAGTTTACCATATTTCTCTGTAATGCTCGCGGTTTTAGCTGTGATGGTTTATTTTTTTAAAAGATCTACATTAGTTTCTGAAATTTAAGTCAAAACATACACAATAGTATCCCATTTTACTCACAAGTAGTGTTCAAAGGAATACTCCTAGGTTAGTGGCATTAGGCTTTTATCTATACACATAATAAAAGTGAAAATATGTTTGTATGTGTTTGTCCACTTCCACAGACAAGCTTCCACTTCCACAAATAGCTATAGCACCCACTGCTCAGGAAACATCAAAGGCCCTCCCTCCAATGACATTGCAGGTTATAGAGAGTGCGGAAAATATATCCAAGACCCTTGCCAACGTCCTTCACAAACACCATACTGCCCACCACCTAAGTGAAGGTTTTCATATGGGGACCATTTCATCCTAGATTTTCTGTTTTTCCTCCACCACAGACACCCCAGTGTTTCTTACTCTCTCCATTGGTGTGGAATTTGCATTATCCTGCCCACTGCCTCTCCCTTAACCCTTTCCTTTTGGGGAGAATTCACCATGATTTATAGGAGTTGTAGGTACTGGGTTGTATAGTTCCCCTGCAATCTGAGAGCACCCTGAACTCCACCAACGATGGACCTGGATCTAACTTGGTACACAGAACCCCTATGATAACAAAAAATACTGGAGGTCTTTTGGGGGAAAATCACCTTGATTTGGGGGAGTTGTAGTTCATCTACATCCAGAGAGCACTGTGAACCCAAACACTGATGGATCTGGACCAAACTTGGCACACATACCAGATATGCTGATATTTGAAAATGGAGGGGTTTGGAGGGACCTAACCTTCCTTTCTGGGAGTTGTAGTTCACCCACAATCAGAGAAACTGTGATCTCCACTTATGATGGACCTGGTCCAAACTTGGCACATAGAATCCCCATGACTAACTCAACCTCCTGGTGGGGTTTGAGGGGACTAACTCACCATAGTGGACGTTGCATTTTACCCTACAGCCAGAGAGCACATTGAACCCCACCGATGATGCATCTAGAGCAAACTTGCCCAACATAAACTTTAAGTACTGATGGAGTTTCTCAGGATTAATCTGGCATGATGTGAGTTGTAGTTAATCTACAACCCTATGCAATTTTTGCAATTTAAAAATTGACTTTTTCAAATAACCCGGGCAACTCTGGGTACCCAAGCTGATATTAAATAAATACATGTAACTCAGAAGAATTTATTTAACAAAACAGCAGTAGGGCATAGAGAAGAAAAGTGGATAGCTCTGTTTTGAATCTTGAATGTTTTGAAACTGATTTCATGATTCCCTTGGAGATGATGATTTGGGCCTGAGTTATTTGGGTTGTCAGTCACAAACTGGTTTTGATATAGATCCCTTCAGCGATGTAATGAAAATTCTTTTCATAATACGTGTCTGAAGAACTTCCCTTCATAAACAAAACCACATAGATATTCATTATTTAGATAGACCTGCATATTGGATGTCTAAAGAAATGAAATTTTATTGTATGTTTTCCCCAGGACATATGACATCCTTTTAATATAGCAGACTAAAACAACAATTGCTGCATTTTATGTCTCACAGTGTTTTATGGCATCTACAAATATGTGAAACTGACATAATCTTCTTCATCATAGCCCAAATCCAAAGCAATGTCAGTGAAATGAAAATCTGACGTAATCTACTTCATCATAGCCTAAATCCAAAGCAATGCCAGCGAAATGAAAATCCGCACTAGCACAGTTGCCTGGATTATTCCTTTTGAACAAATCTTGCCAAGGAAAAAGCTATAAGATGGAAACAACTTGGAGGCATGCACCATGCCACACATGGAACTGAGCTGGCATGATTTTTTCCTTTCCTTTCCTTTCCTTTCATTTCATTTCATTTCATTTCCTTTCCTTTCCTTTGGAGAGTATCTGGCTGTCATGTTGTCTTGGTAATTATACTGTGTGATTTACTGTGAAGGTTGATTGAGGTTTAGGCAGAGCTACGCTTGGGGGACTGCCATGTGGACAGGTGACTTGCTTTCCTAGAGGGGCAAGTGAGGCCATCCACCAGGGAGCTGATACCAACATGATTCCTTCTACTGTTATCCCAAGTGTTCCGGCAGTGGGCCAGAATATTGGGCTCATTGATCAACAGGTGGGTTGGTCGATGCTTGGATCAGGATCCCATGCACTGCACCCAATAAAGTTGTGGTCTGTTTACTTCCAGAATTTTAACTTGATGAATTGTCTTTTATATGTATTTTAGAACTTATTTATTGTTTATGTTGTTTAGCATTGAATTTTGCTGTTAGCCGTTCTGTGTCCCTCCACGGAAGTAGAGAAGAACAGGATAAAAAAGTTCTAAATAAATAAATTGCTGGGCTTACCCTGTAGATCAGTGGTTCCCAACCTTTGGTCCTCCAGGTGTTTTGGACTTCAGCTTCCATAATTCAAAACAGCTGGTTAATCTGGCTGGGATTTCTAGGAGTTGAAGTTCAAAACACCTGGAGGACCAAAGGTTGGGAACCACTGCGATAGATACAATATACTATTCATGCCATTTTGGGAAAAGATGGCCAGGTTGAATCTGATTATCCTAGATTTCTTTACCTAAAGGGACTTTTCTTCTTCATTTGCAGGCACTGATTTCAGCATAGACAGCTTGCCTCTCCCCCGCAAAGATGACCATGATTGGGCCCTTTTCCATGAGGAGTCGCCTAAAAACAATTACAAGCTTTTCCAGAGACCTACTATCACTCTCTTCAACCACACAGCCACTTTTAGTCGCCATTCACACCTTCCGCTTACCACTCAGTACCTCGAAAGTATTGAGGCCTTAAAGTCCTTGAGGTATGTGGTTTCTTTGCCTCAAAAGAACAGCCTGAGGAAGACACTTGCGCCACTTGTGTATGTCCAATCAGACTGTGATCCACCCTCTGACCGGGACACTTACATAAAGGAGCTGATGGCTCACATTGAAGTAGACTCCTATGGGGACTGTTTACATAACAGAGATCTTCCTGAGCCTCTCGGAAACCCGGCCTCCATGGACAGTGATATCTTCTACAAGATCCTTGCTCAATACAAATTTGTTTTGGCTTTTGAAAATGCTGTATGTGAAGATTATATCACTGAAAAACTCTGGAGACCACTGAAGCTGGGAGTCGTACCAGTATATTATGGCTCCCCCAGTGTAGAAGACTGGCTTCCAAGTAACAAGAGTGCCATTCTAGTTGCTAAATTCTCACATCCCAAGGACCTGGCTGAATACATCAAAGCACTGGACAAAGATGACAAGGAGTACGAAGCCTATCTTGAATGGAAATTGAAAGGAGATGTATCCAACCAACGGCTGGTTGCTGCCATCACAGAACGCACCTGGGGAGTGCAAGATATCATGAAGGACAATTACATTGATGCATTTGAGTGCATGGTATGCAGTAGAATTTGGGAAAACAGCTGGCGGCAAGCAAAGGTAATTATAAGAGGCCTGTGTTCTTTTAGCAGGCTCATGGGATCCCTAGACCAGGTCTGCCAAATGCTGACCTTTGAGTGGAGCCACTACATAGTAGAGCTGACCAAGGAGAGTTCTCTAGGAAGGCAGGCATGTTCTACCAGAAAGCATGTTCAAATACTCTGTTTTCCACACCAACCTTTCTCAAATGGATTACCTCTAGAAGTGCTGGAGATATGTTGGGGGCCAGGGGACAGATCCACCTTATAATAATAATAATAATAATCATCATCATCATCATCTTTATTTATACCCCACCACCATTTCCCCAAAGGGGACTCGGGGTAGCTTACATGAGGCCAAGCCCAGAAATGCATTACAATACAGTAACAACAAACATAAGGCAATATAATAAAATAAAATAAGACAAGCATAAAATATGACAAAGCAATACAAAATAATACAATAGAAAATCAAACACAATCACAAGGAGCTGACCGTATGTGTAAAATACAATGATAAAAACTCAGGTTGGGATAAAGATAAAAACCTACATATTTGTAAAGGAGACTCATGAACTGAGTAGTAGTGACAATCCTTCATATGGACAGGAGACAATACAATATGAGGACACCCGTTATAGAAGAGCATGACAAAGGAGATGAAAGATCACTCCCCAAAAGCACAACGGAAAAGCCACGTCTTGAGGTTCTTCTTAAAAATTTCTAAGGAGGGGGCTAGACTAATATCGCTAGGTAATGCGTTCCAGAGTTGGGGGGCCACAGAGGAGAAAGCTCTCTCCCTTGTTCCCTTAAGTCGGGTCTTTGATAATGGAGGGGGCTTGCCTCCTATGCTATACTAATAATATAATATAATATAATATAATATAATATAATATAATATAATATAATATATTGTATATACATATAATATTTATAATATTATATATATTACATTGTATAATGTAATACAATATAATACTAATAATATATTATAATTATATATTTTATATTACAATATAATGGTATAGTACAATATAGTAATATATAATACCGATATTGTCCTATACTAATAATATAATGAATTGTATGTATATATATCTTGTAAGCCACTCTGAGTCCCCTTCGGGGTGAGGAGGGCGGCATATAAATGTCATAAATAAATAAATAATCCCGGAGATAGCTGGGATTGTGGGTGCCAAGTTGAGAAAGGCTGTTACACAATCAACACAGAGTGCTGACTACACAGAGGAAGGTTACACTCACCTGCCCCATGCTACGCACTTCCCCGACCTCATATTGATTTGCCTTCACAGCACACTCTTGCAGTTGCTTCACATTATGTGTGCACTGGGCAAGATCTGAAGGCTAAAGCCTGCCAGATGTTCGTAGGTTGTTCCTGGGAGTTGGAGTTGTATGCTTCTTACTCACAGCAGCCTACAGACATTCTGATCTTTCAGACCTTCCTTTATTTATATATACAGCATGGGGACAGGAGGAATTTGATGAATAACCCTTTCCAGTGCACTCCTCTCTTTCATGCAAGCCATTTTGGAGCAGCAAAGAAGAGTATGGAGAGAACTCCACCCTCAAAACATAAAGAAAATATTGCTTAATTTAAAATGTATTCAATTATTTTTTGCATTTGTATATTGCCTCTTTTCCAAAGTGGTCGTCAAGGTGAAAAACAATAAAAATTATTTGAAAATTTTCGTTTATGATACATCATAGTCTGAATCCTATTGGCAGACGTATAGAATTATTTGCTGGAAGGTGAGTCAATACTTTGATAAATCCAACTGAGAACATCTCCAGGCAAGAATAATGTTTGTACACAGTGATTTTATTTTGGAGATCAACTCAATGTTTTTGCTCTTGCAAAGTATTCCCAGGGAGGTCCCAGCATGACCAAGGATTTTTAATTTCCACTCTGTGGGTCAGTTTAAATTACCCCACTGATTCTCAACATGAGATATCTGTCTGTTTCTGTTATAAGAGAAAAAAAAGCTAAGTTGGCTTCGATCAAGAAACATAGTTTTTTCTTTCAGAAGCCAAATTCAACAGAGATCAAGTGAAGGAAAGAGGAATGCTAGCAATAGAAGGGAATGATCCTAATACTTAACTAGGATGATATTGTGAAAGCAAAGTAAGTTAGCACTTTGGCTATATCACCTGAATAATAATTTTAAAAGACTCCATGGAAATTGGTAAAAGTCAATTTCTGAGACGTTGCCTGAATCTAGATGTGATACGTGATCGATATGAGGAAAAGTACAAGGGAAAGGAGTTAGAGAAACCTGGAATATTTCAAGAAAGCATTTGGATACAAAACCATGAATATAATGTGACCCCTCTATCCATGGGACTCATGCCTGTCATCCCTAGGCATTTCTCAAGGCTTCTGCATAATTCTATGCTATTCTTGTGCTGGAAGCCTTTGATTTCAACAGACCTCACTACCTCTGAGGATGCTTGCCATAGATGCAGGCGAAATGTCAGGAGAGAATGCCTCTAGAGCAGTGCTTCTCAACCTGGGTCCCCAGATGTTTTTGACCTTCAACTCCCAGAAATCCTAACAGCTGGTAAACTGGCTGGGACTTCTGGGAGTTGTAGGCCAAAAACATCTGGGGACCCAGGTTGAGAAGCACTGCTCTAGAACATGGCCATATAGCCCAAAAAAACCTACAACAACCCAGTGATTCCGGCCATGAAAGCCTTTGACAATACAATTCCAATAGAGATTGCTATTTTTCACAGTTTTGTGAATCCATGCAAAATCCAGAAACTTATCCTCCATGGATTAGGAAGATATATAAGGAAAAACAAACAAACAAACAAAAAACCTTGGAAAGTATAAATTTCCAAGGMCTTTTTTCATTTCTGGATAAGCTGTGATTCAATGGGGCTATTCTATCTGGAACAATCTAAGATTCAGGCCTATGTCTTTTCTTAGTGGTCTCCTTAGGGCTCTTCCAGATAGGCCCTATATCCCAGGATCTGATCCCMGGTTTTCTGTTTATTCCAGATTATCTGGCAGTGTGGACTCATATAATCCAGTTTAAAGCAGAAAACTTGGGATTGGATACTGGGATATAGGGCTTGTCTGGAATAGCCCTAAGACAGCAAGCAAAAATAACTCCGTTTTCGGGGTCTCTCGTCCAGTTTACCATCAGTGTTTTATTTCTGCAGTTCTACAGCAGAGTTTGGCAAAATGTGTGTTACAATTTATCAAAATGTCATTTATAGTTAAATCTGTAAGTCTCACTGCTAATTATTTAACAACAACAACACAAAAAACTGGGTTTAAACATTTGTGTGGAAACCTTTAAGTATTATTTTGTTCTATTTCTCAAAATAAACTTCTCAAAGTTTTTTATGTTTAAGAACTTGAAGATAATTCTTTAATTTAGTGCTTCATTTAGATTTCTGGATATTGAGGTTGTAGAACAGAGGTTCCCAACCTTTGGTCAATTCCCAGAAGCCCACACCAATTTAGCCAACTGTTGGGAGTTCTGGGAACTGAAGTCTAAAACACCTGAGGTTTTAGAGGACCAGAGGTTAACAACTGTTCTGGAAAAATACAGCTTGCATGCTTGAAGCCTGGCCATCGCTGTTTAGAATCTGATGTCCCAAGACCATTCATTCATTAGTCTTGGAGAGCAAAACATTAAAAGTATGTCTCATATCACAAGCCGCAGGCATGAGAAATTAAATATTTTACTATTTTAATGGGAAATGCCTACATACAACTTAAATATAATAAGGCAATTTGTAAAACTTTGGTTGTGTTTACATTTGTTTTGTTTTTGTTTTGCCAGGGATTGCTACCCAAAAGGTGGAATGCAGACGAGAGTCACTTGAGCTGCCCCAAACCTCAGACATTTGTTTTTTCTGCTCCAAATGCTGAAAGCACAGCTCTGCGAGAGATGTGGATACCAAGCTTTGAACAGTCCAAGAGAGAAGCACGTGCACTGAGGCAGCTGGTGGACAGGAACAGAAATTTCACAGCTGAGGAGTTTTGGGCTTTGGTATTTAGAGACTGATTTTTAGAAGACTATGGGCCCTTGACTCATGACAAAAAGATCTATCCATAGATGAGCCAGTTAGAGGACCATTGTTTGTAGCTTGCCTTAATAAGAAAGTAGGAAGCAGTTTTAACAACTGAACATACAATGTGAAAACATGGTATTCAGTGAATACTAATCAATAAGAATGATCCCATTGGGTCAACTGACAATATGTTTTAATACTAATATTTAGTATAAAGTATTAATATAGATGTTTTTTATGATTACTGTTTGGGCATTCGCACCCAAATTCTATAAAATTATTACTAGTGTGTAATTAATTCCACATCAGCAGTGTCAAGACCGTCCCCTATGCATCTGTATTTCTCAAGCACTAATTTACAACAACAACAACAAAACTTTATTTATATACCGCTCTATCTCCCCAAGGGGACTCAGAGTGGTTTCCAAGTAAACATAAACAGTACATACAAGAAAAAAACGGCACAAACATAAAATCTACAACACAATATAATCATTAAAACCACAATAGCACATATATTTAAAATAATAATGTCTGATCAAGGCTGTTTAAAAGGCCGGGCCGGGCTACTGTGATTTTAGAGGGCCCGGGATATTAGGTAGAGTCTATGGTTGTACATTTCCAGGGCCTAACAGAAGAGAGTGACCTGGGTAACTGGTAGAAGAAGATATGGCCAATTTCAATTTAGTCCATGAGACTGTGCATTGGTGCTTGTGTTGTATGTATACAATTGAGGAAGTCTTTAATATGAATCCCAGGTCACTGTATGGGCAAATGGCAGCATAGTCATGTAAATGTTTTAGAAAAGGAGTTGGAAGAGACCTCAAGGGCCATCCAGTCCAACTCCTGCCAAGAAGCAGGAAAATCACATTCAAAGCACCCCCAACAGATGGCCATCGAGCCTCTGTCTATAGCAGAGAGTTCCACTACTGAACAGCTCTCACAGTTAGGAAGTTCTTCCTAATATTCAAGTGTAATCTCCTTTCCTGTTGTTTGAAGCCATTGATCCACGTCCTAGTCTCCAGGGCAACAGAAAACAAGCTTGCTCCCTCCTCCCTATGATTTCCCCTCACATATTTATACATGGCCATCATGTCTCCTCTCAGCCTTTTGAACACATGAGACATGGAATGATGTTCTCTTAGAAATCATCTGCAAAAGAAAGCTTTGCTGATGCTAGAAACTCAAACCTACTTATCCTTAAGCCCTCTCCGCATGCCCAGCTCTCTAGCCTGCCGAAGAGAAGGCTGAGAGGAGACATGATGGCCATGTAGAAATATGTGAGGGGAAGCCATATGGAGAAGAGAGCAAGCATCCATTAACTCTGATGCTAAATTGTAGCCAACTGTGGTCCAAAATATCCAAAGATCAAAGATTCCATATCCATATAATGAAAAGCATGCCTCACACAAGCTTGAGTGAGCTGAATCATGTTATGGCATACTACTCTGATGATGTTGTTCACCACCCTCAGCTCCTTCACCCTCAGTTCACCACCCTCAGCTCCTGATGATGTTGTTCACCACCCTCAGCTCCATTCATCCATCCATCTTGCCCTTGGTTGGCCCCTCTTCCTTTTTCCTTCCATTTCCCCCAGCATAATTGTCTTCTCTAAGTTTTCCTTTCTTCTCATGATGTGGCCAAAATACTTCATCTTGGCCTCTACTACTCTGATAAATTTGTTAAAATGCTAAAATATAGCTAAGATGAATGGCTTACTGTCATTGCTGGTCAATATCTTACTGTAAAAAGGACCTTATTTCTTTGATCCATAATGCTCAACTGCTTTTGACATCCTAGAACTGGTTGTAGAGAAGTAGTATCTACGTCAGTGGGGGAAATGCATAACCTTCATGCTTTGAGAATGAATTTTCTCCACTTGGGTTTGGTTTGGGTTCCAAGAGGATATTATGCTGACAAAACCTGTTTTGATATTTTCATTGCTAATTTAAGGAGGTATCAAAACTTTCCCTTCCCAGGTGGTGTTGCATGGATTAACAAGAAGTGGAAAGAGAAACAGGCAGCACATGCTTCTTAGTTCCTTTCCAGGCAGGCCCTGTATCCTAGGATCTGATCCCAGGTTTTCTGCATTGGATTATATGAGTCCCCACTGCCAGATAATCTGGGATAAACAGAAAACCTGGGATCAGATCCTGGGATATAAGGCCTGTCTGGAAGGGCCTTGAGTAGATGCTGCCTCTGTTCATAGCAGACTATATACTGTAGTTTTGCAGTGTTGAGCTTCAAATGATTTCTTGGAGCAACAGATCTATTAAACAACCTTGGTACAATGCCTGTTAAAAAACAAAATACTCTTCCCATAGTGCCTTATGTCTGAAGTCACCCTTGAAGTCTAGCAACGAAGCAGTAGGTAACTGGGTAGATTCACCCTCTGTCAGGAATCATGTGATGGAAGCCCAGTCATTTTATTTATTTATTTACAGTATTTATATTCCGCCCTTCTCACCCCGCAGCCGCAGGGGACTCAGGGCGAATTACAATGTACACATACAAGGCAAACATTCAATGCCATAGACACACAACATATCTAGACAGATACACAGAGGCTATTTAACATTCCAGCTTTCATGAGGGCATTCTGGCCACCAGGGGTGCTGTCACTTCACCGTCCATTAGTGATGGAGCACTTCCTCATTCTTTTTTTTTTGCACGGTTGCTGGATATTTTTATGGCGTTGTAAATTAGTTGAATTAGCCTCCCCGCATAAGCGGTACCTAAATTTCCTACTTGACAGATGCAGCTGTCTTTCGGGCTGCAAAGGTCGACAGCAAGCTACACAATGGTTGGAAGCTCACTCTGACCTGGGCTGGCTTCAAACTCATGACCTTTTGGTGAGTAGTGATCTTAATGCAGCTGACTCTCAGCCAGCTGCGCCCCAGTCCCGACACAGGATGCTATATTGTCATAACTCATTAAGAGTTCAGCCATGGCCCTTTAAGTGTTGCCTAATGTGAGACAGTGAGTGATCGAATTGCTTGAGACAGGAAGTTGTGGGAATGGCAGCAAGGTTGATGGCCAGACCTTAAACTGGCATGTATCATTCGACTTCTGAATTGCCCACTCTGGATACAATTACTCCTCATTTGGTCATCTATTGACTGAAGTCCTGTTTGCAGGGACTTTGCTTGGAAAAGCACCAAAACTAGGAAGCATTACTTTTTAAAATGTTATTCTGCTAGCATGGCTTCTGGGAGTTTGCAGTTTGTAGTAAAACAAACTAACATTTGCAAGCTCTCGTTGCACTCATTGCTACTGTCTACTAGCTCCGACCCCTATTGACAAGCCAAAATGAAGCCAGCATAGTGATTCATAGCATGATGATTGCTGCAAAAAGAAAAGGAAGAAAAATGTGTGCTCACTATTCAGCTGTATTTTTTTATAGGCACACGAGCCTTGCTAAGTATAAAACAAGGCCAATGTATACATTTAGATGCTTGTTGTTCCCATGCGCTTACCAGCATGCATAGAAGGGCACATAGGGAGGAAAATCTAGTAGTATGGAGATCCAGCCTGTTGAAATGGCATCTTGCTCTTGATTATGTATTTTGTTTGGGAAAAGCTGTTTGCTTGCATTGTCCTTGAATAGCGTCCACGTTTATATCTCCTGTAGTTCTGACCTCTGTGAGAGAACACTCCTCAGACAGGTGGACGGATGGGTCTGAGCGCTTTTGTTGCTCAGCATGTTTCTGCATTACCAATCCGTTTAGCGTCAGCAGTTTTTGCTGATACTTGGCAGGCTGAAATTTCCCGATACTGAGGAAGAAAATAAAATGCATTAACATTTGGCACTGGTACGACACAGATTTGAAAGCGAAAAAACGTGGTTAAAATTTACCCATCATGCAGTGTTTAAAAATGAAATGTTAAAATGCAGATGCTATGTGCCAAATTCTGGTTAGGGGTGTTCGCCTTCAAGAAGAGTTGGTTGTACTCTTAGAAGTGTAGGGCCCCTTCTAAACAGCTGAATAAACCCCCACATTTTCCGCTTTGAACTGGAATATATGACAGACTCAAATAACCCAGTTCAAAGCAGATATTCTGGATTATATGGTTGTGTGGAAGGGCCCTAAGTCTTTCCTTATTTTGTTGTTGCACAAAAGAGCAAAGAATTTCAAAAGTTTTCTCCCCTGAGGTTAAAGAATTTTTGTGGATTTCTCAGTGATTCCATTTTGAGATTATGTTTTCCCCAAATATGCAAAACTCAATACTTTTGTGCAAAACCATGTCTTTAACACCATGTAAGGTATTTTCTCCAGGAGTTATTTTTGTAATCATGGGGGTTTTCGCGCAAGCAATCCCCCAAACCTTTAAAAAGTCCCCAAGTTAAAATAAAACAAAATCAAAACAAAATGCAATCTTGGTTGAGACATCCTTTTTGGTCAATTTCCTGTTTTTCAGTAAAACCAKTAGAAGCCCTCAGTGGTGCAATGGGTTAAACCCAATGTGGAAATTGCCTCTTGTATCTTAAAAGAGAAGACCCGRGGGAATGGGCCRTTTTTGAGGGGAAGAATCAGGACTTAAAAGCCAAGTGTCACATATTAGGTTAGCAGTTCGAATCAGGGAATCAGCKCCCTCTGTCAGCTCCAGCTTCTCATGTGAGGACATGAGAGAAGCCTTCCACAATGGTGATAAAAACAATAAACATCCAGGCATCCCCTGGGCAATGTCCTTGCAGACGGCCAATTCTCTCACACCAGAAGCGACTTGCAGTTTTTCACTGACATGAAAAAAAAAGTAGAACCAGTCTGATGTGTGTCTTATTCCTTGTTGACTCTTCAGTGGGACTTASTCTTAGGTCTGCATAGAACTGTAGCCTTAATTTACCTCCCATTAGCATGGAGTTGTATAACCAGTGAACCATCAACCCAAAAACAGAGCCCTCCTTCTACACTGCCATATAAAATCCAGATTATCTGCTTTGAACTGGATTATCTGGCCGTGTAGACTCACATAATCCAGTTCAAAGCAGATAATGTAGATCATCTGTTTTGATAATCTGGATTATATGGCGACGTAGAAGGGGCCAGAGTGATCGTGATGTGGTGTGGCCTCAGGATTAGCAGGATTGTCCTTAAATAATCCCAATTTTCCTAGTTCCACCAGACCTCACAACCTCTGAGGATGCTTGCCAGAGATGCAGGCGAAATGTCAGGAGAGAATGCCTCTAGAACAGTGGTTCTCAACCTGGGTCCCCAGATGTTTTTGACCTTCAACTCCCAGAGATCCTAACAGCTGGTAAACTGGCTGGTATTTCTGTGAGTTGTAGGCCAAAAACATCTGGGGACCTAAAGTTGAGAACCACTGCTCTAGAACATGCCATATAGCCCAAAAAAACCCAACAACAACCCAGTGATTCCAGCCATGAAAGCCTTCGACAATACATTGTCCTTAAATATATTTTCTGTGATCTTTCTCAGAAAGTAGATTTCATGGATTGTTGCATTGAAATTAGCCAGGGAAGAACCTAATTTTCACCCTTAGGGTGGTTTGCCAATTAATTTTCTGCTATGCATTCAAATTTTATTACTTGCCTTTTTTGTCTTATGACAGTGATGGGGATGTGGAAAGATTTACAATAGAGGACTTTCTAGCAGTTTGATTCCTCCTATATAATGTGGGATTGCTGTGAAGATATATATAAGTAATGATAAAGATTAGTTTATCCAAATACTAAAAACCTACTACTCAGATTTTAATTGTCTAATACTAAAATCCATAACTGCTTAAATCAAAGAGTTCAATATTCTGACCTTAAACACTTTTACCTAGAATTAAGTCCCATTGCTTATACTTGGGAAGTTTTCGTTCCTGATTCTATGAAGAACACTTGTGTAGGCGAAAGGTTCATTGCCTTGAATACTAGGCTTTAGTTCCAAGTAGGCTTGCACCCATCAGGATTTTAATCAACTATGGTGAATTCCTATACATGTCTACTCGAATGTAAATCCTACTGGGTTAAATAAGCCTTATGCCCAGGAAAATGGGTTTATGACTGCAGCCTTGGGACATTTATGTACAACCCAGACCTGTGTGATTAGATTAACACAAGTGTGCTGTCGCGCACTGGGCCTATAGCAATTGGCTTTTGCACAGGACGTGCTCTTTGTGCCGAGCGGGAAGCCGGGGTGCCTCGGATAAGAGGCCCTATGGGTTTTCCTATACAAAGTCTTTAGAGGCTTAAAAGTTTAACAAAGTTATTTATTATTGCTTAGGTCTTCAACAAACAATCTTAGATATTCAACAAATCAAACAAATGCTTCTTAACTTGTCTACAATGGACAGGCAATTTGCTTGGAAAACTATTTCTTTCCTTTATGAGGAAAACCCCTTTTAATCC